CCTGCAACGGCTGCAGCGCGCGACTTTCCGACCGTTTTCCCTGCGGATATTGGCCGGCTTGATCCACTCGCCGCACTTTCTCGACGGGCAGTAGAGGCGGTTCTTCGTCGAGTATTCGGCGAATTTGCGATTCCAAGTCTTCTTGAACTTGCTATCAAATAAGCGGTCCACGTGCTTGAGCGGAATGTGTTCCTGGGAACAGCACTTGGGAGGCATGTGTTGTGGGTCTGTAATGGACAGTTTAAAGATGCGCTCTAGGCAGGCTCGGCACATGGCATGGCCACATTTCAGCTTAGCTGCCTTAGGGAGGGAGATGTCTCCCATGCAAATCACGCACTCGACCCTGTCGTGTGTTAGCACATTGTCCAGAAACAACGTCAGAGAGGCAGGTGATTCTGACCGTGGTGCAGCCCTCGGTTCCCTCGCATGTCGGTCCGGTGAGCCTCGTCGAGATGGCGGCGTTCCAAAGATGCTACCTAGTATGCCAGACGGACCACCCGAAAAGGATCCAGCCCTGCTACGACTGGATCGAACGGTGCTGGATCTGCGGGGACGGTCATCGTGCTGGATCACCTCGGCCGACCGATGTCTTCGTTTCACGAGAGAACTAGACCGACGTGATCAGCGCCACACCCGCGAGTCAGTTGCTTAGGTCGACGAACCGTTGAGAAGATACGGGTGGTCTTGAATCTTCAATTACGTTCGGCATGTGCCTTAGGCCCTGTCGAGAAGAGCCGCTCAAGTCTGCCGTGCGCGACGACTCTCGAGTTGGCGAAGCTTCGTCGTCGAGGGAATGTCTCGTTCGCACCACTTCGTTCTCGTCGTCGTCGTAACGTCGTCGACGTCGGCGGTGATATCTGGTTCCCGCTGACGAGCTCATGTAGTCATCGCGGCTGGATTGCCGCCGGCCACGTCGCGTGGTTACTTCGTCGTCCGCCTCCTCCACCACCTCGATGCGGTCCGCGTTGGCGTCCCCGTACGCCAGACCGCTCGCAGATGAGTACGCAGAATGCGTAGCCGAGGGATAGTCCCGTCGGTCATAGGTCGGGGACGCATCTCTCCTGGAGCGCCGCCGGCCGGCGACTGAATCTCGTCCGTCGTCGTAGGCCATCCAATTCCTCGGCCGTCGATAGACGTCGGTCGAGGACCTGGCCAGCGGCGGCGGCGGCGGCATGGTCACAGAGTCTGGCACATCCAGGCTCCTGGAGCTGCTTCCGGCGCGGCGCAGCGAGGTCCTGCGGCGGGAGCTATGTACTTTGGGGTCCCGATGGTGAGGCGGCGAATCATACACGGGGTCGGGCTGTGTGTCCCAATCGTGCGAGTCGATGCGGTAGCGTCTGGCGCGCGCAGAGCGTCCATCGCCATTGTCGGCGCCTCGATGGGAATCCAGCCCCATCCTGCTCGCAGCCCCAGGCTGGGGTTGGGCTCCGGGGCTCTGGGGCTCCGGGTCGGGGTCGGGGTCGGCAACCGCGCAACCGCGGGGAATGGGAAGGCGCCCAAGCTGCCTATGTGCGTATTGCTGGAGGTAGGGGCGACGCCAGTCGCCGTCGAAGCATGCAGGAAGCAAGAGGCAGCCTCGTCGAACCAGTCAGGGCTGTCCACGCTGCAGGTGCCTATTGCATCACAGCGTCGGTTGGGGTCGGCAGGTGGGACGTGCATGGCCGCCAGCAACCATGAAGCGGCTGCGGCCAGCGGGCTGCGGTCTGGCGTCAAGAGGGGAAGCGCTCGATGCAGGTTGGGCCGCTACAGGTGTTTGCAGCAACGTAGGTACGGTGTGAGGTAGGTAGGTAAGGTAGATATAAGGTCCAAGCTGCCCGTGGGAATTTGACGCCGGCCGTCGTCGACTCGCTCGTCGCACGGTCGCAGGTTGCAGGCAGGCGGCGGCGGGGCCCCGCAGGGGTTGGCGGCCGTCGAGCGCTGCGCGACCCGACCCGATGATGGACAGACAGGGTTGTGCGTCGTACCAGCCCGCAGCGGTCCGTGAGCAGAGTCAGACGGACGGGGTCGACCCGAGGCGTGGTCAAGTGGCCCGGCGGCACCAGCTTCGTTCCTGGGCCTGGATGGACCACACGGTGCCGTGATTGGCCGAGGAAAGTCGGCCGGGTACTGGGTCAGGCTCTCCAGGGACGCACGAGCACAGATGCCCGTGTTGGAGCTCACGAAGGGGTGGCGGCGTGGAGGGTGGTGGCTGCGTGCCTTGAGGCCGCCGAAATGGACTTGGGGGAGGTGATGATGGGTGGGTGGGTGGAGTCGCGATGAGGAGGAGAAGGCGGAGGAAAAGGTGGAGGAGGAGGAGGACGAGAAGGAGGAGGACAACAGCAGAGCGTGGTTCAGCTTCGAGTTGCGCGCGGGCGGCAACGAATATGGAAATGGCGGTGGTTGGACCCTCCCTGTCTCCTCCCCACGTCCTCTTTCCCTCTCGTCAACTTCGTCTCCTCTTTCTCCTCGTCTGCTTCTCCTCTCTGGTCCGCGCCTCCCCATCACGTGGCGCCGACGTCACTGGCACGAATAGTCGGCGCTTCCGGTGAGACTCAATCGACGCCGAGGCCGCAAAAGAAAGTTTCATCGGCGTTGAGGGAGGCGGCTATCGGGCGTCCGCTGCATGGACCGCTGCGGGCGACCGTTCACAATGGACTCGAATCGGCCGCCGCCTCGCGAGGCAGCCTCGTTCGCTGGCCAGGCACGACAGCTGCAGCCGGGCCACCCTGATCATTGAGGCCTGCAAGTTGCTGCCATGCTGACCTGTGCGGTGCTGCACGCCGACAGAGCGCTAGTCTTGCATGATCTCACGCTCGCCGCTCGCATATCGCCAGGCCCAGCCTCCGCCGTTGGTCAGACCCCGTCAGCCTCATTCATCCACCTACGAGTACTAGAGTCCGTACATCTCTTTCCACAACCTGCGGTGAAGACGAGACCTGAGAATCGCTGGGCTGACAGGGGTGGAGCCCACGGGCCGGCCCATGGTGGGTCTGCGCCGGCTCCGCCGGGGCTGATGCCGGGCGGGAGTTGCTGCCTCCCTGCCGCCTCGCCATCTGTCAGCCAATAATGCCCTTGGCTTGGGACCAAAACGCTCAGAGAGTTTGTGACGGTCTCGAGGTTGGTCGCTCCAGCATTTTGTGGCACGGACCGGGCCATGCGTGACACATGTTACGGACGCCATGCTTTCGACGGCATCGGCAGGGCCGAGAGTACGAAATGATGTTGAACAGCCGCCGGCTTTGAGAGAGGCATGGCCCCCGTTACACGTTCATCGAATTATAGGACGCCTAACATGGTATGACCGTGATGAATGTTCGTCTCGGGTCCTTCGAGGCAACGCTACTACCACAGCACCCGTACATGAATTGCGTGCTCATATCCACCGAGGCAGATTGGCACAGCCGCAGTGGGGTGAAGAGGGCACTGCTACCGTGGCTTGAGCATCCTTGTGTGAGACGTCCCTCTCCATGGGCTTCAAGTGCGTCGCACGACTCCTCCGGCGAGACGGAAGGCGTGTCGTTCGACGGCCAAGAAGGGCATACCGAGGCTGGCGCAACCTTAATCCCAACATATCCTGTATGTATTGACTCCGGCTACCACCACCCATTCCCATCGTCGGCAAATGGTGCAGCAGCTTCTGTCGTCAGCCATTATCATCGGTAATGGACTACTCGATTTCGACTCAATCGCTTGGAGAACTGCCCGGCTCACAGCGCAAGCATGCGTCGAACACAGTACAGCGACGTACAGTGACGTCACCAACGCGCACTATGGGCATGGTCGCGATATGGAGTACAACTCGGCCACTCTGTCATCCAAAGCTCTCTGTGGCACGACAGAACTCATTGGACAGAATTTCAGCGCAGGAACGGCCTGTTTTCTCAGAAAATTACTGCATAACTCACGATGGAGAGGCTCGTTTACTCAATGCAACCCCCGGCACGGCGACGGGATCTCCAAAAGCCAATGCAGGTCCTGTGTCTCGGTCTCTCACGCAGTGGGACAGACTCGCTTCGCAATGCATTGACTATCCTCGGATACGATAACGTGTACCACGGCTTTGTCATCACCTCTTCGCAACGCGAGGACTGCGCCTTCTGGGTTCCCCTCATGCGCCAAAAGTACGCCAGGCAAAAGGAGACTCTTCCCCCGGGCATCGACTTTGACTCTGTCCTCGCGGAATGCGAGGCGGTCACTGACGGACCGGCCAACGTCTTTGGCGAAGAGCTCATGGCGTACTACCCCGACGCCAGGGTTGTACTCAACCGCCGCAAGGATGTCGACGCGTGGTACGCGAGCATGCGAAGGACCTGTCTGCAGGTGTTCGGCTGGCCCATGTGGGTGATGAGCTGGTTCGACACGGAGCTCTGCTGGCTGTGGTGGAATTTTTGGGAGGTCATGCTGGGGTACTACTGCGGCGACTTCGAACGGTATGGGAAACAGGTCGCTGTGGAACATTATGAGAAGCTGGAGCGAAGCTTGGCTCAGCAGAAGAGGGACTACCTCGAATGGACCGTCGAAGATGGATGGTAAGACTCCGAACGAAGCATAGCACTTGCTCTAACGTTATGTCAGGGAACCGCTCTGCAGATTCCTGGGGAAGCCCGTGCCCGGGATGCCGTTTCCTGATGGTAACAAAGGTAGCGGGCAGTTCCAGGACAACATGCAGGAGGCCACCAGGGATATGGTAACGAACGCAATCCGCAATCTAGGTATCACTGTGGTCGGCCTGACCGCCGTGGGAGTTGGGGTGTATTACAGGCTCAGCAGCTAGACATGTTGCGCCTCGTTAGAAGAGTCTGGAGCCGCCAGGCGAGCCCACAGTAGCTAACTCAACTCTATATATAACACACGGCTGACTGGAACCGATTCCATTGTGTGTGTGGGCGTGATGTCCACAAACTCAGCCATGGTAGGCCGAGCTGCTTGCTCCTCGCCGAGCCGTCAGGGACAAAAAGTTGGCATGGCCTGGTCCTAGGACACAAGACAAAAAAAGATCTGCTGCTGGGAACAGCTACTCATGGACGAACAGGGAATCGAACCCTGGACCTCTCCCAAGCAGAGGCATTCGTGAGAATGAATATGCTAAGGGAGAATTATACCACTAAACCATCCGCCCATATGAACCTCACCGCGACCCAGCTGCAAATTGGACGAACAGGGAATCGAACCCTGGACCTCTCCCAGAGGAAAGTATTCACTTGGAACACTCATGCTAAGGGAGAATTATACCACTAAACCATCCGCCCAAATGAATACTGCTGGACCGTTGCGAGTCCTGATTCGTTGAAGACCCGAGCGACGTAAATGTCCTTATGAACCTGGCGCAATCTGGAAGCCGACGAAAGAAAAAAAATTCGGATGGTGGGGTTGCGGGGCAGAGAAAACTGGTTCCGACCCAGGGCAGCCACGCGAGAGACGGAGGCAAAAAAGAACAAAAAAAAGAGGTCCCAACCCCTGACTCGATGGTCAGGGATCGGACTGGATTCTGGACGAACGGGGAATCGAACCCCGGACCTCTCCCAGATGGAAGCACGATGCTAAGGGAGAATTATACCACTAAACCATCCGCCCAGTGGAGTTTGTTGAAGGCGTCTGCGTTATTTGATGATAAGAAGACAGAACAGGATGTGTTTCTGTGGCGCCCGACCGAGACCCACCAGGCCAACCACCAATTCGTGCGGCCTCAGAGAGGCGAGCACCTTTTGAACCGGTTAGTGGGAGTTCGAGATCAGGTATTGAACAGGGCAGGCCGTTTGGTTGCCGTGCATTGGCGTTGGTTTTGCAGTGCTGCGTCGTTCAGCGCTGCTGGCCACGCTGAACAAGATCCAGCACAGGGGGAACCCATTCTGTGCGAGCAGGGGGGTGAAGCTGTTCGTCCGAAACGGTCACCGTGCATGGCCGAGGGCAGTCTCCAAAGTCTACGAAGTATATTGCACCCAATCGCTTGGGCCCTAGCTATTCCTGTGCCAGAATCGTCACAGGCGCACAGCCGCCGAACTGAAGAGGGGGCTCATAAATTGCAACCCCGGCGAAACCGGCAACCGCATCTTGGCAGGCACCGACAACGCGGTGGTGGGTGTATCCTGTTCGTACTTTGGTGTACTCGTTTCCCACTGGTTCTCATTATATTTCCAAAGCAGCATCAGAGCTCCTCCAGCCTTGCGAAGTATGAACTCTAGATTTGGCATGTAAGCGTGAGCCTTGGCTGCCTGGGGTCACAGTCCATTCGGTGCAGGTTGTTTGCCTCACAAAGAGTAAGAAGCTTCCAATGGCAACAAATAGCAACTCACAACACGAATTCGGAGACAAATGTACATACAAAAATCATCCAACATATTCTCTCTTCCCCATATGTCGTCGCACTCGACAGGGCAGTGCTGTCACGTATAATCGCAACTCGAGCACCCACGTGTGCAGGGTAAGGCAATGCACCGTCGAAAGCTGCACGAAAAGTGTTGGGCCCACACGTCGCAGCGCCAGTGCCAATGACGATGACGCCCATGTGCGTCAGTCTGCAGCCCAGTTTGCCAGTGTCGCCTGGCGGCACTTGCTTGCTGGATCGAGCCCAGCTAACCTGGAACGAGTCAACTAACCCACAAGGTGCGCGCGCGCTGAAACTAGATTCCACTCGAGGGCTTCCCTCGCACCGGCCGGCCGATCTCGACGCTAGGCAGTCCGTACCTATCGTCAATCTTCTTCCTTGGCCAGCTTGCAATCTTCTCCCCCTCTCGCCCTCTCCTCCGCGGCGAGACCACCACCTCCATTGGGACGCCCGCGACCACCACGAAACCAAACCGCAAACGACCTGCTGCACTCGCCATGACCCGGTAAAGGCTGCGCTGCGGCTCCTCTGCTGCCCCCGACTACACACGTACAGACACACGCGGCGCGACCATTCGCAAGGACGAGAGCGATCGAGAGACGCATTTGCCGGGCCGCGCAGAAGGGATAAGGGCGCACGAGATCGAGATCGGGATTGATTGAATCACCATCCTCAGCAGCAGCGGCAGAAGAAGACGCAGCAGAAGCAGCATCAACAGCAGCAGCGACACACACGCGCGCGCACAGAGACAAAGGCCCCACGATGCGCCTCTTCCTCCTCCCCGTGTCAACGCGGCGCACCTTCATGTACGCGCAGCGCCTGCACGTCACCACGTCCCCCGCCGACCGCAGCTACGTCGACCGCGGCGCCGCCTGGGCCGCCAAGAAGTGGGCCGAGTGGGAGAAGAAGGAGGCCGGCTGGCAGCGCAAGGTCGTCGACTACGGCAACCACGCCTTCCGCCGCATCCCCTACGAGGAATGGGGCCTCAAGTCGGTGCCCCCGCTGTCGGCCCGCCGCCGCGACCAAGAGCTGCGCGGCAAGGACAAGGTCGAGCTCGTCTTCCCCGCCTCGGCCATCGCCGTCGACACGGCCGAGCGCCTCGCCCTGCGCCTCGCCACCGAGCGCCAGGGCTTCCACAGGCAGAAGATGCTGTGGTGCTTTGTGGGCATGCCCATCACCATACCCTTTGCGCTGGTGCCCATGTACGTCCACCAACGCATGCATTGCATGCCCTTTGCCTGAGTCGAGTCCTGTGCTGACCACAACCACCCCTTCGCTCGTCCAGCATCCCCAATTTGCCCTTCTTCTACCTCGTGTACCGCGCCTGGTCGCACTGGAAGGCCATATCCGGCGGCAAGCACGTCCAGTGGCTCGTCGAGAACAAGCTGCTGCAGCCGTCGCCCTCCAAGATCCTCGACCAGCTCTACAGCAGCAGGGACGCCACGGTCGAGACGTCGGGCCGCGAGGAGCCGCTGCTCACGCAGAAGCAGGTCCGCGCCTTTTCCGAGGCCCTCGACATCCCCGCCCTCGAGATTGAGCTCGAGCGTGCGATATGGCAGGTGGACAGGGCCCTGACGGACAAGGAGCACGGCGGCGGCGGGGAGCAGGCTGCCAAGAAAGAGTCCACGTCGGAGGACGATGCCCAGCATGGACGACAAGACTCGCCCGGGCAGGACAAGGAGAAAAAATCATGAAAGCAGAGCCTCGCGCTCGCGGTAGTGTACGATATCGACTGCCAGAACCCACGACGCCACGCATGTATTTATGTATAGCCGCATAGACAGAGACGACCAGAAACCCCCTCCCGACTCGACCTCATCGGTGGGTGGGTGGGAGATTCTCGTCCCGCGGACCTAACAGTCCATCTCACACGTAAAAGCCCAAGCAACAAGAGAAACAAACCTACTCCTGTTCATCGAGCGCGTTCGAAGCTGAGCCAGCCCGCTGGCCCCCCTGCCCGTGAAGGAACAATTGACATCACCCGCCCGCCAGCGTCACGTCGCGGCCGTCTCGCCGCTTCGCACGAGTGCGTCCATCCGCAGCGTCGGCAGCATGCGCATCCTGCCCACGGCCAGCACCACGCGCCGCGGCGTGAAGAAGCCCAAGTCCGGCATGTGGAAGAGGTACTCGTCCTGCTGCTCCGTGACCTCCTCCCCTTCCGCGTCCTCGCTGCCCTCGCCATCGCTCTTCTCCCGCCCGTCCCCCTCGCGCGGGTCGAGCCCAAGGTGCCGCGCTCGTACGTCTACGAGAGCCGCCGCATCACCCCTCGTCGTCCTGTCTGGCCTCAGCGTCGCGGTCTTCATCTGCGCCTCTGCACTTAGCACACACACACACACACACATAGGTAGTCAACGGGCAGCGTGTCGACGAGCAACTACTCACCTGCCTCGCCGTCGACTCCGCGGCCGTCCGCCTCTCCCACCTCGCCAGCTCGCGCCGCGTCGCCTCGGTCCGCCACGCCTCGGCCGCCTTGTACCGCAGCAGCCTCTGCGCCGGGCTCATGCCGACGTTCCTCCTCCTCAGCGCCCGGCCGGCTCGCCGCCTCCGCAGCGCCCGCGCCGCTTCCTCTTGACTCCGGGGGTTGAGCGGCGAGGGCACGATTGGTGTGTACGCCGCCGCCGCCGCGCCTGTGCGATGCGCGCTCGACGACATTTCGCGGATGTGGATTGAAGCGTCAGTCATGTCTGATGTCGGCGGACTGCATGGCATCTTGTCCTCGATGCCGTCCATGGCGCGAGGCATTGTGCGCGCCATTGTTCCGCACCACAACGCGGCTTCACTGGAATGTGTCGCGCTTCGAGACTCGGTCGCCAGCCAAAAACCCACTGCTCTGGCATGCTTGAGCGTTGGATTTCGCTACGAAGCATTCTCTAGAAAACGTGGGTTTCTATGCACTGCCGTCGTTTCTCATGGCTGATGCGCCCGCATGAGTACCAGTCTTGGCCCATGCCGGCGCGGGTAAGCTGCCGCCCGTCAACGGAAGCCACCCACTTCGGAAGGATTGCGCCTCAAACGACACACGCCTTTCATCCTTCCGACTCCTGCGTAGAGAAATGCGTGCATGGTATTAGATATACTGTATTAATGCTTGTTGTATCGATGCCTTCTTAATGTACCGTGACGTCCAGGAATGGTTGGAACTAGAGGGGAATAGGGAAGCGAGTGACCAATGCCGTCTCCAACGCCTGTTCTTAATTACGTCGTACCCAAGTAATGCAGCCCGTGAGAATGATGAATCAATTACGCGCGATTTGCGACCACGTCTTATGCCGAGATGAACGTGGCCTCGGTGAACATCTGGCCCTCCTCGTTGATCTCTTCGTCGCCAATCTTCAGCTTGAGCGTAACCTTGGGCGAATACTGAATACCGTGTTAGTCGCGAAGGGGAAGAATTAGGGCGAGGACATGTGCAAACCTGGTAGATATAAGGCTTGGTTCCGGCGGCGCCGGCCACGATCTTCTTGACAAAACCCGGGACTTCGGCCATGACGTCAACTCTATCGACCCTGTCACCGAGGTGGCCCTCGATGACCGCCTCGACGGGCTTGCCGTTCTTATCCTTGTTGGACCAGACGAACTTGACATGGCTGGGCTCGGGCCACTCATTCTCGGCGTCGTTGTTGACCGTGGTGTGGAGCGCTTCCATGTCGCAACCGGCGGCAACAATCTCGCCGTCCTTTACGATGCCGCCCACGATGACACTGGTCGTGCCGTACGACGGGGGCGTCGTGAACTCCATGAGAATGGCCGAGTAGTTGGGACCCTGGAAGTCGACGAAGTTCCAGCGGGCGGCG